GGTCCTGATCAGATTCCACCTGAGGCCCTAAAAGCAGATGCCAATGTGACAGCAGACCTGTTTCACACGTTGGATACCAAGATCTGGAATGAGAGCACGTTCCCAAAGGATTGGAAAGAAGGACACCTTGTGAAACTTCCTAAGAAGGGGGATCTCAGCTACTGCAGCAACTACCGAGGAATCACTCTCCTCTCAATACCAGGTAAGGTCTTCAACAGAATCATTCTGAAGAGAATCAAGTCCGCAACGGACCCAAGAGTTTGGGATGAACAGGCTAGTTTTCGGAAAAATTGGTGAACCACGGACCAGATTGCCACGCTGAGGATCATATGGAACAGTCCCTGGAGTGGAACTCCCAGTTGATCGTCAACTTTCTTGACTATGAGAAGGCCTTTGACAGTATAGACCGAGCAACACTGTGGAAGATACTGAGACATCACAGTATCCCAAAGAAGCTGTTTAACCTCATCACGAGCGTGTGCGAAGGGACAAGTTTCAGGGTTCTACATGATGGCCAGCTCAGTGACAGCTTTGACATCAAGACCCATGTGAGACAGGGATGTTTACTATCACCTTTCCTCTTTATCTTGGCAATCAACTGGCTGATGAAGGAAACCACCAGAGGACACAGAAACAGCATACAGTGGACCCCATAGACACAGTTGGACGATCTGGATTTTGCTGATGACTTGGCCCTTCTGTCACACACTCGGGAACAAATGCAAGCAAAGACCACAATTTTAAACAGCCTATCAGAGTATGTTGGATTGAGGATCCACCCAGGAAAGTGAAAAGTCCTACGGATTCACTACGAAAGGAGCAGGTCACAGGAGAGGGAAAATGCACTAGAAGACGTCGAATCCTTCTGCTATCCTGGGAGTATAATTGACAGAGAGGGAGGAACAGGCGCTGAAATAAAGTTGCGTATTGGAAAGGCTCAGACTGCATTTACAGTAGTCTCTGCCTAAATGTACGGTGCTCGGGAGGGCTCCTTAGTGTGTGTTTATACGGAGTGTGCATTTACGTGCACCTGTGCAAAGAGAGTAAGGGACACAGTCATCTCATTGCCTTGATATTCTAGTGACGTTCCTTGGAGGTGAAGGTCACTTGTCGATAAATAATGTGACGACACATGACTGTTTTGTGAAGGATTCCTCGACTGAGGTTAAAAATACAAAGGTATTGAATGGGGGGGGGGGGGGGGGGGGGGGGGCAGAACAGACTTAATGTGATCGGCGGGAACTGATGATAGCCTAAAGGGAAACTGTTGGTGATAGTCATAGAGACGACGGCCCAGCCACATGGCTTTCCAAGCGACCACCTCCGACCGTACATTCATGGACGACATCAGAATAATAAAACTCTACATTCAGAGAAACATTTCTCTTGTGATTCGTTAAACAAGTATATTGTAAGTTCTTCGAGCACAGCTGAGTAGGCTTACTTGACTAATCTATAATCCTATAGGGGCCTATCTAGTCTTTTACAGTACAGCATTCACGCGTGTTGCGCATCATAGGCCTAGGTCTAACTAAACATTACATGCAGTCACTCAAACACCAGTCAGAAACCTTCTTTCAAAGATGCATTTCTAGTGACCAATCAAATAACATTTCAGTCCCCCAACATTTCACCGGACCAGTCCTAGATCTATGTGTCAGTGAAAAGTTGGGTGTGAAAACGCTGTCCATCACTCTCTTTTTTCTTCGTAAGGGCTAGTCTATCCAAATATCTGTTTTTCTAGGCTTGTCTTCCGCAAGCTGTGCAGATTGAAGCGAACATTTCCCTTTGTGAAGCTTTACCTGTCGTCGTGTTTTGGGGATCGAAGCTTGTGTTTAAAGGGAGCGACCGTGCGTTTGTACGTCTAAATCATATAGTAAAAAACGCGTCAGATGACGAAAGCGTGCGTTTGAGAAGAGCGTGCTTTTATAGAGCGTGCGTTTAGGAGGAGACTACTGTATTTTTTTTAACAGGATTTGGAAGACTAGGGATATCTCACTACGAACAAAACTGAAACTCAAATGTGAAGTCAGTCCTGTTGTATGGATGTGAGACATGGAACGCATCTCAGACATCCCTAAAGAGGATCCAAGTTTTCTGAAACAAGGGTCTGAGGAAGCTACTGAGGAGCAGATGGGATGGACAGACAGGATCACCTATGAAGAAGTGTTATGAAGAACGAGACAGAGCCCAGTCGGAGGTGAGGTGGGAAAAAGGCGTTGGCGATGGATTGGAAGGAAAGTGTTAGACTGGAACCCACAGGGTAAAAATCAAGGGGAAGACCTCGTAGAACCTGGAGAAGAGTCACGGAAATGGATGTACAGAAAAGTGAGAAGACATGGAATGACATCAAGCGACTAGCCCAGGATAGGGAAAGGTGGAAAGTGTTTGTTCGTGGCCTATATCCTGATCCAGGGTGAAAAAGGCAATGATGATGATGGGTCCATGAAAACCTTCAGGCCTCTTCAGAAGAAGTCATTTTTACTCGATTACGGAATGTCTAGACTTTGGAGAGACCCGAAGGAAATTTTATGAATTTTTAGTGCAAAAAATTGCAAGATGTTTTCCATTGTTGATCCCAACAGAATCTTTGATTTTATAAAGGCCAATTTTATGGTAAATTGTAAAAACAGCTATTATGATTTTAAGTAGGTTATCGTTTTTAAACTGTTATTTTACCTCAAGTTTCAAGCATTTTAAATTTGATCGTTGAACCGAGCCCAGCCGTGCAGTTAACTGTTGTGAATGCAACCAACTTGTGTTTCACGAGCGCCACAAAACTCTTATCTAAAAACTTTAAAAAAGGAGTGTGAGGTGCCCCTTCTCCCCTCTTCCCAGCCCCCTCCGCCTGCTCCACCTCCCCCTACCCCTCCAGCAGAGACCCTACCAAAGGAAGATGACAGCTCCGATCCCCTCCCTGGCCTGTCTCTGGGAAGGGCAGAGCCCGTCACTCCTCCAAATCCCCCAGTAGGCTGCCGCCCGATCTAGGACGGCAGCCTAGAAAACCCCCTGCCTCCCCCACAAAGAGGAGTCAGAGTGTTTCGGAGCCGAGGCCTTTGAGCTCCAAATCTGAAAAGTCCTCATAATGGCAGTCCTGCATGGAATGCTGACAGACTTTGAACTTCCATTGCAGAATTGCAACACTTACAAGCCAAACTGGGCCTACTTATGGCCTGTATCCGGGAGACAAAGTTCACCCAGGCTTTAAACTTTAACCATAGACTTAGAATTTGCTTCCTATCATCATATATTAACACGGAGAACCAGATTGCTTCCGGTGGAACCACCATCTACACTGATAACAACACATTTCACAGACAAGTACATCTTAAGAGACAACCCTCCAGGCTATTGCCGTACGGGTCACCCTGCACAGACCAATCACGTGGTCTGTTTATATCCCACCAGATAACCCCCTCAAAATAACTCAACTAAATAATCTAAATTTTCAGCTCCCAAAACCCTTTATTTTGCTGGGTGATTTTAATTTCCACAGCCCCCTTTGGGGAGATATACCCTCAGATCAGAAAGGATAAATTATCGAAGATTTCTTATTTCAAAATAACATCTGCGTCATGAATTATAGATCCCCCTCTTAAAGAAACAGATCCACGTTTGGCACTTCACTTCTTGACCTCACCTTCTATACCCCTGACCTAGTCCCAGATCTTGAGAGGTCTGTGCTGGATGACCGTACGAAGCATTTCCCAATTCTTATAAAAACAAACCAATAGCCTCCAAAACAACCCGATCCCAGAACGCTTCAGTTTAAAAAAAACACACACTGGGACGGGTTCGCCATTGAATGTTCCCAGATTATTAACTTCATTTTCGACCACAACTACAACAAATTCCATGAAACGCTTCTAGAAATATGTCACAAATATATACCAAAAACATATCCAAAAACCCCGAAGAATAAGATCTAGTTCTCTAGGGAATGCAGTGATGAAGTAAAGAAAAAGAAGGCAGCATATCGGAGAGTCGTCGACAACACCACTACAGAAAACAAAATTTATTTAAAATTAAAAGCTCGAGCTGAGGCACACAGATGCCTCAGGGAGAGTAAAAGACAATCCTTCAGAAAATACATTTCCAACATCATCTGTCAGACACCACTCAACAAAGTTTTCAAAATAGCTAAAGCATTCTTGGGTAGATGCATAGACACCATTTGGCACGTGTCGAGGCCAGATGGAACCACAGCTGAAACACAGGCAGACATCGCAAACTCAAGTGCTACATCTCTCTCTCCAAAAACTCATCTAAAGCAAACTACAACATCACCTTTCAAAACATCAAAACTAACAGAACAAAGACACCTCAACTTCCTCTCAAACAACACTGAAACCTACAACCCAGACTTCACACTAGATAAACTAACATCATGCATCTCCGACCCGGGAAATTCAGAGGTAAATTTGTGATCAAATGGCCGCTGCTGAGGTTTGTTGACCTCCAAAGCATGAGAGTCCTTGAAAACTGTAAATCTGCTTTTTTGTCCCCTAAACTAAATCAATGTTTTTCATACAGAAATGTGTTTTTAAATGTGTTCAGCAAGAATACAGAAATTTGATAAAAATTGCTAAATGGGCAGAAAAGTGCCGGACTCTTTGTTTTCAATATTTTGACGAGCGCCAGATTTCACCTCGATGCCTCACAAATGTTGATTTTTTTTGGGTTTGATTTCACTATTTTTATGAAGCATGTGTGGTCACTGTTATGCAATGTACCTCTTGAATAGTGTGAAGATAGTCACTGTGCATGCAATAACACACCCCCCCCCCCTTTTTTTTTTTAACATCTCTCTCTCTCTCTCTCTCTCTCTCTCTCTCTCTCTCACTCCTCTTCCCCCTCTCTCCCCCCCCCTTTTTTTTTTTAACATTACACACATGTACGCTGTCCTTGTCATTAAAAAAAAAGGAAAATAAGTAGAAAAAGTAGAGTACAAGAAACTTTAGAATTGTAAGATAATACTTCCTCCTATGGCTCATAAACAGGATGCAGCTTAATGTGAGCACCCCAGACTCAGAGGAGATGTTTGGGAGTCCTGTGTCTCAGTCTTGTCTGGCCAGCAGCCCTACAAGTCTGAGGGATATCATGCAGAGAGAGACACAGCCATCAGACAAGTATGTAGAAAAATGTCTTCTTTTGTAATGCAGTGATTGCCATATGAGCCTTTGCCAATAGGTGGGGGTTTCATCATATACCTTACAAATTCCTTTCCTATTCCAATGAAACTGATGCTACAGCTTTGAAATTTGTATATATTGTGCTTAATATGATGTTTCAGCAATGGGAGAAGAGAAATAGCAGTCGGGCCATCAGAAGAAATCTTACAAATATTTTTAGTCTTGAAATCAATTTATTTTTAGAATGCAAAACGTGACATGTCGAGTTCGTACTTTTTCTGTCATCAAGTTCAACAATGAAATAATTACTTAGAAACTCCTCTTTCTACCCCTTTACTACTACAAGTACATTATTTGTGGTGCTACATATGGAATAATGATATCTGTAGGTGTTTTTTCTTTGTGAGTCTTGAAGATTTTCATTTTTGAGCATACTCGTGTAGTCATTTCACAAGGCAACTTCGATAACCCATGACTCAGTTTCTATCGGCCATTTTGGGGCCCTGGAATGAGCATAGTATCATTTAGTGATTACTCTCTGCCAAGGAGATTAAACGTAATGGAGGATGCTCTGTGGACGGCACCGCACGCCTGATAGGAGCCCTCTCTCGCGGCAGAACCGTGGGCTACCTGCGCTGCGCGATTGCCCGACTAAGGCACTGAAATCTAGATAAGAAAGAAGGTTTTATTCCGAGGTCCTTCAGATTAGGCAAGTCAATTTGTACAAATGCCTTGCACCTGTGTTGTATTTAAGTGTAAGAACCGATCTGATGCTGCAGTGGACCGAAGTTTTCACAGTTAAGTTGTTTCCCTTTAAAAAATATTGAATGAAAGTGTTTCTATGCCCCCAGGAACACAATTTAAATCATTAATATTCATAAGAGGCTGGTTCCGGCGCTATAGCCAAGGCTAACCCAGGCTGAAAGGGATACAACACCCCAGCAGAAAGACTGAGATACTCAATTTTTAAAAAATATTCTTATTCATAAATATATATAATTATTATGAGTATATATATATAATTATTATGTGTGTATGTATATACACATTATACATTTTAATTAAAGATATTGCTTTCCTTTGTGTGTGCAAATTAGATGCTACTGTAGTCTAAATGTAGATATCTAGAGGCTCCATTAGAACATGAAATCAATACTCAACAACAATAATGATGAATATTTTCTATGTTAAAGAAACACCAAACCATATCAGATGAGGGGAGAGGGTGGGGTGGGGTGGATAAGAGTTTGAGTCTTGTTAGATAGAACTATACTCGGTTTAATTCTATTGTTGTAGTCTTCACCTAAGATCCCACAATCAATAATTCCGGTTCACTTAAGATTCTGCTGTTAAAAAATAAACCAAACAAAGCAACAACAAATTTTACTACACAAGAGTCATCACTAAGATAAATTATCCCCCTCTGGAGTGTAATAAGGGACTAAAAACGCTGCTCTCCATATCATACTTTACTGAACAAAAAAAAAAAACCTTCAAAGGTTATCCACGCTCATGCATGCGATCACACCTCCAAGGGTGCTGTTATCCCTTCTTTTAAAAAAAAAAATTAAATATTTGAAATCATTGTGGGCTCCACTTTGTGAAAACCAGGAAAGAAAATTATTGTGATCAATAATATTATTTATAGACCAAGACATACTGTTAACAATTAGATAAAGCAAACATCGACCCTCTTTTGTGTCCGCTATTCCTTACACATAAAGTTAGTTATGGCACACGCCTAGAATCATGCAATCATATATCTTAAATTCAGTTTAAAAGTATATTTTTATCCATTTCTTATAATTAAATATTTTAGCATCTTGAAAGATTATCTTTATATTTTGGTATGTTTGATAATTTTATGTTACTCGGACAAGTTTTCTTCTTATTTTACACATCTTTTTGATTTTTAAACTAGATTATAACATAAATTTCTTAAAGAATTGAACAGTCCGTATCACACACATAATTTTTATTTTCTCCCTGTCATTATCCGTCAGCCCGTCCCCGTCAGTTGATCACAATCTCTCTCTCTCTCTCTCTCTCTCTCTCTCTCTCTCTCTCTCTCTCTCTCTTTCTCTCTCTCTCTTATTTAATTTTCCCATTCTCCTTCGTCCCTTCCCAAGGCCCGCCCCTCCTCTTTCATCCCAGCCCCATCCCCTCTTCCTTGCGTGCATTCCCCCACCCCGCCCACCCCCACAACATGGCCCAGCCCGATAAGATTCTATAAAAAGAAACGCCACAGTTCGTGATTCAGCCCACAGTCGGTCGCCATATTTGATCCCCACCGCGGCGTACTGCTCGTGGCGCTGCGAAGAGAGAGAGGAGGCTCCATTAGTTCTAAGCTCCTTGCTCTCTGCCCTGACTGATTCCGAGGCTGTGCAGTAAACAGAAATCCCGCGACGTCTCGTGCTCTCTCATTATTTGTTATGTTCGAAAGAGCCAATCAAAAAACGAAATATAATAGGGGTGGAGGAATGTGCATTGTTCCTGTCGATCCATTCAAAGTGTATTGTTGTGCGATGCGAGACGGCATGAAGAATAACGATTGATGAGATGAATTCATTTAAGTTTTCTTATGTCATCACAAAATCTTAACATGTTATGTTCCAAAAAAGCTGTTATGTCCGAAAAATGTTTCCCCCCGGCCCATTTAATTAAATTTAAACCAAGTAATTATTAACATCGCACTGCGTTCCAATGATTAAGTAGTGGTAGATCTGGATGCGACCACGCGTGCTTTGCTAGATGTCAACGGGAGGGGAAAATTTGATGAAAATTGATGTTATGTTCCAAAATGATGACAAACATTTATCTGCTATGCTATGTGTCATCGTGGTTATGTTCAAAAGATATTTTAGTATTTTGTGTAGAGTCATAGTAGGTACCACAAGCCAAAGTTTTTTTTATTATTTAAAACCCCCCCACCAATATTGATGTTTAAACCTTAGGGGTTCAAATCTACTCTATAAAACAAGAACATTGAAAAAAGAATTATAATAAACCATCCATAAACAATCGAGATATGGTATTTCAAAGTTTTCTTTTTGAACGAAACCTTTTCAACTGCGACTTTCACCCATGTTTGAGGTGTTCTAAAATACAAAGTGCATGATCAAATCAATGAAAACTTTGTTTTTCCCAGAGCTGTCAACACAAAAATTGATATCTCTAAATCAAACTTGTTAGAATGACTGGTTTCCAAGATATAGGCCTTCAAAAATTGAAAAAAAAAAAAAAGCCAAAATTTGTCATTAAGAGCTCAGAACCCTATTTCAACCTCTTCCAAATTTGTCAAGACTGCCTCCTCATTAGTGAAAAGCACACAATCATTACAAATGCAAGCATAGACTTCGCTGAATTTTTTAAAGACCTCTCTGACCATAAGTAACTTTTCTGGACTCCTCTGAAGTGGGCTTCGGTGCAAAAAACGCCTCTTGGAAAAAAATTAGGGGAATTCTGGTACATCCTCGGGCAAAAAGCATCATAACAAGTGAACAAATTAAGCTACAGAGCTAAATCGTACATCAAATTAAAGCTCAATGCAAGCTCTACGAGGCTAAATAAAAATTGTTTACTAAAACCTCTTATAACACTCGATAACAGGGCTGTAATGCCCAAAAACCTTCCATTATTGAGTGAAAATTAAAACGTCTGCCGACTGGAAAAAAATTCATATAAAATCAACAAACTGTGCTACAAGGCTGCATTATATATCAAAGTAAAGCTCTTTTCAGGCTCTGTACAGTGAATTAGTTTATAGAAAGCAAAAACCTTCCAAACATTTCAGAAATGGACAATAATGTGAAAAAAGTCATCAATATTGGTTCAGAAAATTAAGATTTCTGCTCACAGGGTTTAAAAGTTGGAATTAAATCAACATACTGTTCTACCGTGGTTCATCTTGTATAATATAGATCTAGTTCTAGATTTAATTATCATTTTTGCTGAGAACGAAACCAGTGGCTGGGGAAAAATACAATGTATCATCGTGTGTCCAGTTACTGGATGGAAGAAAGAGTGTGGGGGTAGGGGGGGTGGGGGGGCATTTCTCCAATTATCAGGTGACATCTAAGTCTAACTAAGTCTAAGAATACGTGAAAAGGCTGGTTGATTCAATAATTGAATATCCACCAATCAAGAACGTAGATCTAGCCTTTTTTGTTACCAAATTAAATGCCAAACAATAGATCTACGAACATTTCCATCGGTAACACTAACACCCGGTAACCCCTTCCGAGTGTTCAGTCGTGTGTGATGACATGTTACTATAAATAGAACTCCCAGTTCAACTCTTCACGGCTATATTCTTTCACTTTGTCGACCAGATATGCTTAGATTTAAATACATTTAGAATAAATAAGGTGTTCTTAGTTGAAAAGACATAAAAAATACACCACGAAGCGATACATTTGTATAGATCGCAATTAATTCACTATGAGAGGGTGGAAATGTAGGTCGGCGTGATTCCCACCAAACAATAACAATCTATTCACTCGGCAAGTGGTGGCCGATTAGTCTTATTTTTCAAAACACGATATTCTTAAGTATCATAAAAGAAAATTATGATGACACTTACATAAATTGACGCCATAAACAGATCTATCGAATGTTTCTTTTACTGAACCATCATATAATCGTCTGCTGGTTGGGTCAAGTCAGAGGGGGTGGCAGTGGGCGATGGAACAGCCGCACTGGCAGAATGACGATCTCCCGAAAGTGGTTGTTACCCCACTTCAGAAAAAGTAATATTTCTACTTCGTGGAACCTAGTTGGCTTTTCTAAACCCATAAATTAGATGGTAGAGATGTCTAGGAATATGATCCTGGCACGGATAGCCCAATTTGTATAGAATTTCATATTTTAAAATGCTTTCTTCGTCTTTACATCGTACCACTCATGCTTTCCGCTCGGAATAAAAACATAAACACATTCCCCGGAAATTCTCCTGAAATCCCAGATTTTTATGTTTCAAACCGCAAGAAAATTCGATG